AATATATTTTTAATACCTTTTGACACTCTCTTGATCTATACATTATTTGTAAGTGCATTTTTTAATCTCCCAGTAATTTTGGATTTTCCGACTACTTTTTTTGTTTTTATTGACATCTACGTTAATCCCATAATGGTCTGAGAACATATTTTGTATGGTTTCCATCGTTTTTAAATATGCTGAGGTGTGTCTGTGCACCCGACTGTGGTTGATCCTGGTGAAAGTTTCACGTGAGGAGGAGAAGATTGTGTGTTCTGCTGCCGTTGGATGGAGGACTCAATAAATGTCACTTGGATCCCTGTGATTGACGGTGCTCTTCAGTTAAACTATGTCCTTACTGAGTGTCCGTGAGCTCAGGCTTGTGGCCCCGCTGCTGATGTTGTGAACTGTTGACCTGCACTCATCTCACCGGACAGGCAGCGCTCAGCAGTGGGATCATTAGTCACCACGTAAAGCAGCTCCTACGTCTGTGCATATGTCTGGAATCCAAGAGCCCGCACAATCCCAAATACAGCACATTGTTACAAGGTGCGCTCAGTGAACACACGGCCCGGGACAGCTGTCAACGTATTTAGTCACAGACTTTGCTCCAGTCAAAAGCGTGGAAATTACATAGAAAACCCAGATGATTCTGTCATTTCACAGATTCTGAGAGTTGAGACGCACCACCTGGACATCCTGCTCAACCTCCATCAGCGCTGGGGTCGTTCCTCAGGATCTGACCCAAAAGAAATAAAAACTGAGATGATACTGGAAGCAAAAACATCACATGAGTAATAATGGTTATTTGAAATGATAGGATGGCAGTACTTTCAAAATTTCTAAAATGGATTATCTTTTTGACGAAGGCTTCGTGCACCGCTAACATAGAATGCTTTGTCTAGAATGAAGTCCAGTCCCCCAGTGAAAGGTTGCTTTTGATCAATTGGAAAATCTTGTACAACTGAGGAGCATGCCGCATACACAGATTCACGGAGGCTGAGATGGTTGGAGGAAGTCAAGAAGACAGTGGCAGCTTAGCTGGATTTAAATACAGAAAGAAGAGTGATGGGGCTCTCATTTAGCCGTGGCATGTATTTAGTTCCTTTTGTAAATGGGACACTTCATGTGGATTTAGGCTGCTTTTAACTTCAAAGCTGAGCATTCTGTGTCTCATTCCTCTCCATTTCCTCTATGTTTCTATGCTTCTTCTGCCACAGAGAATGGCTCAGCAGCAGCTCAGCCCATGCTTGTTGACCAACCACGTCCATACACCCTACTTCCAAGGCCACATCAAGCAAGGCTCCCTGAGTAATTCCTGAGCAAGGCCACCAATGACTGACAGTTACTGTGTGTCTTCCTGACTCCCCATGAGGACCTGCTGGAGGAGCTTTCTCCTGGGAGGGTCAAGGAAGAGACCGCGTCTAATGCCAACGTAAGGTTGCCCATCTTTGTCTGAAATAGATATGGTGGCTTTTGGGTTTATTTTACCTTCAGTTGAACTCTTGAACGAAGATCTGACAATGTGCACGATAGATGATACGCACAATTTCCATGGTGGGGGAGTTGTGAACTGTGAGTCTCTTATCAACTGATCCCTTATTTAAGAAGATGGTCACAAATGGCGGCCTCAGCTGATGAACTCTGTGGTAGGGACTTATCCATGGCAGAAATTTTCCTTGTTTGGAATCAGAATTTCACAATTGGAAACCAATAGAGATCTAAATGTAGATTATCCTAGAAAACTTCATACCTTTTTCACTGGTGTGTTCTATACCTCCTTTGGGGTCTTTGAATAAAATAAAATTTGCCATCTTGGGGGCCGGCCCAGTGGCGCAGCAGTTAAGTTCACATGTTCCGCTTCGGTGGCCTGGGGTTTGCTGGTTCGGATCCCCGGTGCAGACCTGGCACCACTTGGCAAGCCATGCTGTGGTAGGCGTCCCACATATAAAGTGGAGGAAGATGGGCACGGATGTTAGCTCAGGGCCAGTCTTCCTCAGCATAAAGAAGAGGAGTGGCAGCAGATGTTAGCTCAGGGTTAATCTTCCCCCCAAACAAATAATTGCCGTCTGATTTTCTAAATTCACCAAGTGAACAACTCCCAGTAACTTGAATCCTGATACTGACCAGGTCTGAGACAGGTTCTGTTGGGGTTTTTGCATAAAACAATATTTATATATTACAAGTGCTTTAAAAATATACACAAAATAAATTTGAAAATATGCACCAAAATATGTGCAGAGCTTAATAAATGGTTATAAGGCAGTCCCCCTATTGACCACCACCAAGGTCATTCCCGTCCTCTGTGACATTTGTCCAGTCTTAGTTGTACAGGAGACTGCAAATTAGTACTTCCTGTGTCCCTATGTTACTGTCTGTCTAGGCATTTCATTGTGTGGAGTTCGTCAATGTCTCTGGAATGAATCATGAGAAGAGTATTATTTATCATATTATATAAAGAATGACACTGAAATGAGTCTGACCGAGTCGGTGTGAACATTATGCAGCATTTTCAACGCCCTTTTCCCTCAGCAGTGCTATCTGGGGCAGAAGGAACGGGCAGAGCAGCTGAGGGGATTTGGAATTAGAGAGGAGCAGGAGGAAGACAAAATTTCTCCAATAATCTTTGCAATTTAACCACCACATTGGCGTTCTCACAGCGTGAAATCAAATATGATTTTATGCTCATTCCAGGATCGCTAGCACATCGTTTCATAACGTGTGCAGGGTTATTGTTTCCTTTCTCGTCATCTGTATTTGAGAGCCCCAACTCACATCAGACAAAGATCCATACTGAATTATTCTGTGTCTTCTATTAAACAAAGGATTCTTTAATACAGTGCAGAAAAATATGTACTTTTATGAGCACGAAATTTGAAGAGAAGGAGCATCTAAAACTTAAGAGGAAAAGGAAGAATTAGAAAAAATAATTGAATTATCTGAAAAACACAAATAATATCAGCTTTCATAAGTCACTGTAAAATATAGAAATAAATGACTAATGACATACTACTTATAAATAGCTACTAAAATTAGGACATTTTTAGAGCTAACGCATTTATTATATATTCCATCATGAATAAGTTGGGAGGCCATAGTAATGAGCCAGGACCCCTGACCTCTGCAGGGAGCCCTGACCCAACCCCAGAAACTGTCTCAGACACTCTCAAGGCATCATGGGTCAGAATCATTCCTTCCCATAGGGAAGGTGTGGAGCCAGTGGTGAATGGAGGGATTGGGAAGCTGGATATGGGAGAAGAACCCGGGGCTCAGGGGCCCTTCACAGAGCAGGAAAGTGCAGGGAGGAGCTCCCCCTGGTGGCTGTTGGGTGATGCTGCTTGACCCAGGTCAGAGCTTTCCCTGGGCTGTGCTGTTTACGTCTGAAGGACCACGCTGATGCACACTGCCCACCATGGGCTAGAGGATCAATGAGTCCCGTTTCAGTGGGTCCAGTAACTTCATTTTCCTCTCCCGCAGTGTGTCAAGTCTCCACCGCTAGAAGCTCACAAGCTCTCTCTGCGCTTGGGGCGTCCGGCATGTGGCTCAGTGCGTCTTCATATCTGCTGTCCCCCAATTCTGTGTTCACCATCGCCCAGAGATTTCAGTCATCTAGTCTCAGCCCAGATGCCCCCTGGGGTCAAGGTGAATGTTTCTGCATATAACACGGATGGTACTTGCACCTATGCTCTGCTCAAGTGATACCGTTCCTGATGGTTTGGGTTTCATTATTTTCCTAGAATCGGAAAATGAAATTGCCCTACATCCTCTCTTCTTTTTCTCTCTCTATATATGTAACATATAATATACAACATATATAATATGCAACATGTAACACATAATATGCAATATATAGCATTTCATACATTATAATGCATTTTACATACAAAGTTCTCTCCATATAATACATTACATATATTTATGTTTTTATACGTAATTTTATAATACGCATATTAGTTTAAAATAAATATAAATTCCTTACTTTATATGACTGTTTGATGTAGCGAATAGATTTTTAATCAAGTTCTGTAGTGTTACTCAGTGTGAGGGCTGATAGAACAGGAGCGTTACTACAGTGGAACCTCCTCCCTATTTTAGGGCTCTTCTCCCATTGCTGTACTAAAAACTCTCACAGCCTGTGACTGTAAGTGTACTGGGCCCTAATCAAGATTTTTTTAAGAGCTCCATGGAATTATTGAGTGTTAGGTGTCTAGGATCTGAATCCAAAAGAACAGATGTTTATCCAGCACTTTCCCAACCAAGGAACCACAGGGAAGAGCAGTAGACGCTGTGGATTGACCTGAGGGAGGTGAGCACTGAATGAGATGGCATTGAATGTGGAGATCGCTGTGGGTGGTATTGATGGATACCTGCACAGTATTGTCATCCAATCCATGAACATGGCTGCCCTTTCACTTATTTAAATTAGGTTTTTTCAGTAATATTTGTATTTTTCAGTTTACAGCCTTTTCTATTTTATTATTTTTGATGCTTTTGGAAATGGAACTGCTTTCTTAATATCCTCTTAATCTTGCTCTTTGTTATTAATTAGAAAACCAACTGATTTTTGTAGAGTATTACTACCCTTAAGTCCTGTAGGAGATACTACATAGAACCCATTAGGGGTTATGATAGGAGTTGGTTTTCCTATTTTGAAACAGTAGGATAACAAGCATTGAGGCAGGTGGGAATATGAAAATGAATCACTGCCATCCGTGAGCAGTACAATGAGTAACCCTGGATCCACCTCTAAAGGCACTGAGGAAAAGTAGGGACCTTCCTGAAGGTTTAGTGGAGGCCAGAGAACAGCTATCACAAAGTCCACCCGAGAGCAAAGCTTCTTCAAAATCCCCTTCCAGTCGCTCTGTCTTCCTAGATTTCCATTCCTTTTGGCAGCTGCCCCAACTCTCTCTTCTCCCTCTCTGCTCGTTTTCCCCAGTCAAGCTCATTTCTCTCTGCATCTTTCTTCTCCAAACCCCCTCGGCTTGCATATCCACCCAGACATAAATACCAAGCCCCAGCTCGTGGTCATCCACTCCTCTGCAGCTTCTCAAGGTTGCCCCAGGACTCTGAAGCACCAGCATTCTTTCCATCAGCATCACTTTGGAACGTGGTTAGTGACGTAACTCATCGGTGAACAACATGGGCTCTAAATTCTGACTTCATCTTCGCAAACCGGGTGACCTCAAACAAACGATATCCTTCCTCTGGAGCTGTTTTCCAATCTATAAAATAAGGATAATGTAAGTACGTGGCCAGCATGATTGCTGTGAGTATTAAATGCGATGATGCCTGCAAAATACCGGTCTGTAGTGACTGTGCAGTAACTGTTAGCCATCAGTACTATTATTCATCTGCTGGAAAATTCTATGAGGTCAGTAGGGCAGTGGTTCCTGTTTTGATATGAACAAAGCAAGCACCCCAGTGGTGAATTGATTTGCTCAAGGTTGTACAAGACAGGCAGCCAAGCCAGAGGTCAAATCCCATCCCTTGAGTCGAGAGCCTTTGGATTTCTGCCCAATTTCTTGAGGTCAAGACCTGAGAAGCCAGTGCTGGTGAATGGGGTCCCCCACAGCTTGGATGCTGTTTAAGAATTCTGAGGAGAGGCGATACCCCTTCCTGGCTTCAGTTTTCAGCGTCAACATTAAATTATGATGATGTATGACATGAGATTGTGTCCCCTGCTGGCCCCTGAATGTTGCATTTCTTCTGAGGGCGACTACAGAGGATCCATTTTGCTGTTCTCAGTAGGTCTGGAGTGACCTACTCTAGTCCCTCTGCTTGGGACACAAAGCTCGTTGCCCTCATGAGCCATTTCTCACAGCAGCCACTCAGGGACTTCCTACATACTTCTAGTTTGCCTGGATGGTGCCCCCCGTTGGGGTGTCATCACTTCATTAAAATACAGAATTAAAGTTTGTCACTGGACACCCAGCCAGCTGTCAGGATCCCCTCCTCCTCCTGCCACTGTCACACACTTGGTACTTCCCAGTATAGTGTGGTGTTTAGGGAATTCTGGAGTCAGACAGATGTGAGTTCAAGGTCTAGGTGTGACACTAAATGTGGACTTGGTTAAATTTTTCAGCCTCTCTGAATCTCCATTTCTTCATCAGCAAAATGGGTATTTGGATAATGAAAAGCAGGCAGTTAATACTTCCTCGGACTCTGGTAGTTCATGAGACTGTGTCAGTGAGCTATGACTACACTAATGTCACAGAACAGATAACCATAAAGCTTAGGGGCACATGACAATCAGCAATCCACAGAAGAACAAATGTAAGTAGCCAACCCAAATGTGGACAGACTTCCCTGCATTAGTAAACAAAGCATGTCCAATTAAAGAAAACCCAAGATACCATTTTTCATCTATACTTAATTGGAACTCTTTAAAAGATAGACTTTACTTTTTAGAACAGTTTTGAGATTGATAGAAAATTTAAGAAAGACAGCACAGAGAGTTCCCATACACCTCTGTTCTGGTTTGATATTACTAGCGTCTTACCTCAATAGGGGATATTCGTTACAACAGATGAAATTATACAGGTTCATTGTTATTAACTAGATGTATGACTGTTGACGTTGACCTTGATCGCCTGGCTAAGGTAGTGCTTGTCACTTTTCTCCACTGCAAAGTTACTGCCCCCTCTTTCCATACTGTGCACTTTAGGAAGGAATTCCATGCACAGGTCACTCCCTGGTTGATGCCCCCTCAGCTCTCAGGATCAGGGCAGAAAAAGGAAGATGTGCACAGCTGACTCTCTCCCAGTTCAGGCCTCATCCTGATGCAGTACCACGTGACCTATATAGTGAGGGGTATGTCTTCAATAGCAAATATTTACTGAATACCTACCTGGTGTTGAGTCTGGTGGTTGGCAGTGGAATGCCAGGCTGTGCTAGACAGCCTCATCCCTGCTCAGGGAGCTTGCCCTGAAGTAGGAACATTAGGGTGGGAGGCATACATGGGGCCATCCTTCCCCAACTTCACCACTGGAGACAGGGAGGCCAGACAGGACACTGCTGCACTCATGGGTCTGTGATGGGATGAGCGTTGGTGGGATGATAGGAGAGCAGGGAATCAGAGGCAACACGAGAGCTGAGGGCACCTGGGAATGACGTGAAGAGTCCTCGGGTTTAGGCGAAGATGTAGAAAAGTCCATGAAACGATATAAACAGAGGAAGATGGAGATAAATCACATGACCTGGGAGAAGTGAACTACCAGGGAAATGAGATTAGAATTCAGGAATTACAAGACCCTGGCAGGGCAAGTGCCTTAGGAATCCCAGAAGATGTGCTTTGGTTTGTCAGGTGAAGGGGCTTGGTCATCGGTTGAATGTGATCTACTGAGGCTGCTGGAAAGGAAGACAGGGAGAGGCCACATGTCAGCAGGGTGAGAAGTGAAGGGTGGGTGAGAGAGTTGACAGAGGGAGGACAGATTCCCCTCCAGGAAAGCTTGCACGGGAAGTGTAAGATGGAGGAGTCCAAATCTGGATGTCCTTCACTGTGTGTCATAAAAATAGAATAATGTTAATTTGTAGATTTTTGTCACAGGAGAAGATAAATTCAAAGCTTATAGATTGATTACCCTTTAAAACATTAACTGTTTATGTCCAACAAAGAAAATTTGCTTCTTTGGCCCCAGCTTGGTGCCATAAAAGTACTATACTCAAAAACATTCTTTACCACCTTACTGGTCTCCTCAGTAAGATGAGTTGAATAACATTTGGACTCAAGTTTAGACTCTAGTGTGTGAGATTCATGTGTTTAACTTTGTGAAAATTGGTCTCTGACACGTTGGGAGCTTATTTCCTGAGATGTCTGAGAGGATCCTTCCATGTAATCTACTGACCCTGTGGTGACTGAGGACTGGAAATCTTCAAGCTCAGGAATTACTGTTCTTGAGTCCTGAAGTGATTCCCAGGAGCTACGAAAACTTTCCTTTTCTGACCCTGTATTTTTCTAGAAATTCACCACCCCCACACACTTTTTTGTTACAAGGGGCTGAAAATGATTTCGGGGGCATTAGCTGACTGGTGTCTACGTGATGAGAACATAACGGAGGTAGTAGAATTTTGGAAAAAGCATTCTTGGTGGGATATTACAGGAAGGAAAGGAAAGGAAAGGGTCGAGTATGAATACGGAGACTCTAATCTTCAGTGACTGACAGCATTGCAGACAGGGAGCTGGGTGGACCCACGCCATGTGGGGCCTCGGCGTCATTCTGCAGTTGTGCCTTTTTGTAAGTCACTGTCACTCTCACTGGCTTGGATTCAAGAGGTTGGTTGTTTGAAACTCCTGAAATAAAAAACCAACGATTGTCTTAGTATAAGCATATTCTCAGATACTAGACTCATCCCATTGCGATGAAATGGATTTTCCTAAAGACTTCCTCAGAGCATTGAGGTAAATGTCTGAAACCAAGAAATGTCAAAAATAGGAAGGGGCTCATGATACAGGCCCCCAGGTTCTGAATCTAAACTCTACCTTCTAGAATGGAGTCCTGCCCGTTAGCTGTGATTAGCGAGGTGCCAATAATACCAGCTCTAGCTTCAGGGGCACTTCTACTAGCCTTATTAAATACTTTTTCACAAATTTATTTTACATCCATTATCTTATTTAATCTTTACAACAATCCTAAGATTTAAACATTATTACCCCCCACAGTTTAGAGATGAAGAAACTGAGAACGAGCTAGAATAATTGGCCAAAGATCAAACAGCCAGGAAATGGTAGCACAGGAGTTTGCAGTACTCTCACAGGTTGTCTGACATCAAGTCAGCTCCTTTTTTCTCAATGATGCTGCTCCTCTTAATCTGTTTCAAAGAGCACTGGAATTCCTCGGTGCCTCAGGGACCTCTGAGCAGCAGCGCCTCGGGGCCCTCACTCTGGTTTCAACCAGAGCACGTCTATTATACACATAATAGATTGGAAGTTTTGTTTGAAAAAACTCCCAGACACTCTATTATCCCATGATGTCTCTAAAGCTGTTACGAGCTGCACCAGCAACTTGTTGAAGTCGGAGACCTCGACTTCTTCTTTCTTTGGTCTCACAACAGTGTGCAACCCTGCCTGACCTGTGAGCCAGCCTGCGGAAGGAGGAGCAGATGGGAATCGCTGCCCTTGGGATGTGCTCTGGGATCCCCCATCTAGGTATCTCCCATGACCCCTGGCGGCCTCGCTGCCTGTTTCTCACCGAAGTTAGTCGAAGGATCTGCAGGCTTCTCGCTGCCATCACAATGCATGGAGCTCTCCCCCAGGAGGGAAGCAATGTCTTCTCCAAAGTCAGTCGAAGGATCTGCAGCCTTCTCGCTGCCATCACAACGCATGGAGCTCTCCCCCAGGAGGGAAGCAATGTCTTCTCCGAAGTCAGTCGAAGGATCTGCAGGCTTCTCGCTGCCATCACAACGCATGGAGCTCTCCCCCAGGAGGGAAGCAATGTCTTCTCCAAAGATCTGGAGGCAATTTTCAACCAAAAATTGTACAAGAGAAATCTGCAACACAAAAGGGTAAAAACGGGGTGTTCTTTTTCATATGGCATAGTTATAAATCACATTTCATACATGAATCTTGGCTCTAACAAAAATTGTGAAAGAATGCTAAGAAAAATTCAGAGAACCAGTTTTCTCTAAGAACGAACTGTGATACTTTTGTGAGTACTTTGGGCACAGGTTTTAAAATACTTTTCATCAGTGGACTAAAGGCATAATTTGTGGTCTAGTTTAAAAGCTAACATTTTTATATCAATGGTTACATCTTGAAAACAAAGGCAATTTTCAAATGTAACCCACATAGGATGTTTGGGGGAAGATGTATACTCTCTTATGAAATTTTACATATTCATTTTCATTAAAAATTTTTTTCCGGTTTTGTTGAGATATAATAGACATATCGCATCTTAGGAAATTTATAAAGCACCCAATAGACACGGATACGTGAAATACATTTGTAAGTTTAGGTGCTGCTTAAACTTGGGCAGCAGAGATTTTTGTGGGTTTTTGTGAGGGAAGAAAGCAGCTGGAGAGACACCATTCAGTTTGTCTGGCTGCAGCCCCTCCTCTTGCATTGCCTGCCCCACCCTTACTTTCTGGGAAACTCTCTTGGGAAACAGCTATGATCTTATTGGGCATGTTGTAGCTCTGATGGGATGTTCTGGAATCTTTTACTAGTTTCCTCACCCCATAGCAGAGGCAAAATAGTAGCCAAGTATTTTTCTGAATGAGCCACAGCTGGCAGAGGAAGGCCAAAGTGTGTGAAGCCATGGGTGCTCATATTGCCCAAGCTGCCTAGGATGTGCCAGTAATGACCAGAGGAGCTGGGTGTTGTCGCCATCGTGTAATGAAGAAACCATCGCTTGGAAACTTTGCCCAGGGTTACACATCCCTCGGTGATTAGGCTGAGAGTTGAACCTTGGCTTGTCACACTCCAAAGCCCAGGTTCTTTTCTGTCATATCGGGCCGCTCCTCTCTCTGCTGTTCAGTCGGTCCAGAGTTTAGTCTCATGGACAGGAAGGGAGGAGAGACTCAACTGCTCACAGTTCCCCCTTAACAACCCTCCTTCCCATCCCCACAGAGGAGGATAAATGACTCTGCCACTCAACGGATGCACTTTCAAAAATTGGTCTGTCAGAGTTAACACCGTCCATTTTGGGTTCCACGTGGGGACTCTGACCCCTAGGGCACGCAAATGAGAGCTTTCATTACCTTTCTTGTGATGTCACTTTCTAATTCTGCGCTGCAGGCATTGGGCAAACAAAGAATGCTTGGGGCTATACACGTGGCTAAGTTGTAAGCTGTCATCTGATTGACGGATGAATGCTGCTGAATGTTGTGCAGCACTCCAAAAAGATAACGCAGGAGCGCTGCATTGGCTCTGGGCAGCTCGTCCAAAAGCCTAAAGACACAAAAACGGACCTTTAAAGACAGCATGTCCTTTCGCTTAGAAAGTTGGAAATACAGAGAAAGGGAACAGAGGACTTCTTTGTAGAGCAGGCACAAAGCCCAGTGAACATGCACGAGAATGCAGAAATGGCCCTCCTAAACATGCTGCCTGAAATATTTCCCTGAAACGCCTAGAACGTGTTCTCATTTGGGCACATCTTATTAATATCGAATTTAATCTAAATATATTTTAAAACTCTGAAACATTGCAGAAACTCTTCAATTAAAGTTCACAAAAGCTCATTGATTAAATTAAACAGTGATGAAATTTAAAAGGCTCCCTTTGTTTTGAAGGTAGCAATATAGGAACACTGTCTCAGGGTAAGAGCCCAGGAAAGTTCCAGGCAAAAATGTTTCATTGAGTTCAGTTCCTGAACCAGATAAGAACTTCTCTGGGTAGTTAAGTGTTTGACAAAGGTAAGACCATATCCCTGGCAGATTGGTCCTTTAGCCTCTCTCTTGGACCAAAGGATTCCATCTGCTCTCAGTTTCATATATTCAGAAGGCATAAAATGGTCAAGGATTCCTTATTAACAAGACTAGCAGAAGAACAAGAACTCAATAAGAGCAGTAAGGCATGCCGCTATTTTTGAACTGGCCTCCGTGGGAGTGGTCAAATCAAACTCTTTGGCATTGGTCATTATTTTAGTGGACAAAGCTGTAAAGTATAAGCTAATATTTTCCTAAGAGTATGTTGATTGTACTTTTGAGGTGTGCCCCAGTAGAGTAATCATAGCATCGCTACCTCTGAGTGGCAGCGATTTTCTCCTCCTTGTTCTCTCCATCAGTTATACTGAGCCATTTAGCATAGAGATTGGATGTAAATATACTTCCTTGGATATTTCTAAGAAAATCCTTACACAGATCAAAAGAAGAGTATTCTTCTTATGGCAAATACATATTGGACAAATTACAGGGAAAACATGGAGTTGAAAAATTGAGTTTCTGTCCCCACTTCCTTCTCAGGCTCCCCACACTGTGACCCATGCAGCGCTCAGCTCCACCTCTCCACTGACTTGCACACCCTGAAGTGGGTGCTTGGACTTCTAAAACTTAGAAGCATCAAAGCAGAGTGGGCCACAGTGGGAGTGAAGAGAAAGCCCCCTTCTGTCACCTGGAACTTCCTCTTGGTGTCCATTTTAGTAAACTAGTAGAAACTGACAAGGTCCGGTGAGACGTCATCCTCAATCCTCCTAGTTTCTTGAGAAGAAATACCCATCCCCGTTTGAGACACAGTGCTTGCTCTTAACTCAAGCAAGAGAAGTTCTGAAACAAACAAACGCACACACCCTCGTGCTCTCGCACACATATTAAGAGAGAACTGAGCCTTCTGACTTGAGGTATGTGTGCTCCTTGGGAGAACACTGCGTCACAATAGCCTCGTTCTTCCTGGTTTTAACTGTATAAAAGTTCGATTCTGCAGACTGGGAAGCAGCAGGCATTGGAAATATATCAAAATCCCCAATGGGTAACAGCGTGTTACCGCTTACAGTCTGTGAGTGGGACATACAGATCCTTCCAAAAGAAGAAACTTACTAACAACTTAGATACATCGCAACTTCAGGCCTCTGAGTATCAGGGCTACAGACCCACAAATGTCAGCTTCCTAAGTGGAGGCCTGGAATATCTCTCACTTTAGAAGGCTGAGGAACAAGTTTAATATCGTAGAATTGGGCCTATTAAAATTTACGAAGCTTTAATGTTTGTGCAAGACTGAGGGGAAGTTGTCACATTTTCTTGCTAGCTTCCAAGCACACCTAGCTTCCATTGTTCTCACTCAGCAGCACACGCCTTCTCTTAGTGGTGGCTTGCTCCAGAAGTGCCTCAGGGCAACTATCCTAATTAGAATCTAATGATGGTTCACTCATGCTAATCCCTATTGAGCTGCTGTTAGTGCCAGGCACTGTTGTGAGCACTGGGGACAGAGCAGAGAAGCCAATGGACAGAGTCCCAGTCCTCTCACTTTGACTATGTTGATGGTGTGTGGTACCCAAGGTATTGTAGCTAGCCATGGTAGTTAGTGCTTTTCACCGTGTTTCCTATGGAGTGCTTCCAATATATTTGGAGGGAGGATGCAGTCCAACTCTGGCCGGCTCTTCGAGTCTGGGAGCGTGCAGAAGGGCCCTTGCCTCATGCGTACCACACTACGTGCACTCGGAGCATGTGTCTCCTCTCTGTTTCCTGAACCCTGTTCTGTGGGAGCCCATTGGTGAGGCTGAGTGTGGTGAAGCCAGAACATGACCCGAGCAGAATATGCCAAGGGTATTCACTGCTGGACCTCTGTTTTTAGACAGCTCAATGGCAAACTCAATGTGGTCCTGATGACGTACTCATTTCTGGTTTAGGTCAACACTCCAGTTCACTGGACGTGGTATTATCAAAGCCAAGTTGCAAAATCTGATTCCCCACCAAGATCAGTCAACTTTAGGAATGTCTAAGAACTATACCCACGAGTGGCCACCCCCTTGCTAGTCTGTACTTATAACAGAAAGATAGACAAGACTCTGCTGATGGGCAACTCTAACTCTTGCTGGAAAATCAGTTCCAGGTGTGCACCTCACAGAAGGCAACACTCAACTTGCTATTTGTGTGCCTAGTGTATATTTCTAATCATCCCAGTGTCACAGTGCTCGACTCTAAGCCACTTCTGAACTGTCCCTATTTATGACAGAGCTGAACAATCATGGGGAACAAGGAAAGACCAAATGGAATCTCGATTATAAGAGGATTTTAATAACCTATTGTAGTCATTTCTACTTATGACATTCCTCTTTAGAGCTGTTAACAAATACCAAGATGGATTGAGTCAATTCTTTCCCTGTTCTATGATTCCCTTCATAGAAACATAACTGGATATTTGGGATTTAGCTGTATCATTTAAAAACCTTTTTTGTATAAATCTATTGAATTTTCAGAATTCCAAACAAATTTTCGTTGCTGCACCTACTTTAAAAGTCAGATATATAAGAAGCAGCATGTGGTAGGAGCTTGCTACAGTGTGACCATAATCGTGGGTGGTGGGTTAAGCATAACAAACGTTAATAAAGGATGCCAAATTTGGTAAGGGTGAAAGAAGGCAAAAAAAGTGAAGTCACCCCTACACTACTTTTCAATTAAAAGAGACAGGCGAAAGAAGGATGAGGAAGTGAACGGAGCTTTTGGTCACTCATTGAGCATTTTTTGATTCATTGAATGACAAATGTTGGCTTACTGACTACGGTCAACCTCTCTATTTTCAAATGTTTCATACGAATTTTCTTTTGTAAACTTTGCTTTCATTAGGACAATGGTGAAGAAGTCATCAAAAACAGGATGTTTGTTCTGGTAAACGTTCTGTATATCTAAGTGTGTGTTTAGAATTTTTATTATTATTATTCTGGGATAATGTTCCGGAATGAAGAAGGAGAAGGCAGTGTGTGATGAGAAAGGAAAGTATATCTAACATTTGGGGCTTTTAACACCCAAACTAACGTCCTTAAATTTGGACTTCGTGAAGTGTTTTTCAGTTTCTCAATCTATTATGCCTATTATGGTTCCTGGGCAATCACGGTGGAGGAAATTGATCGTGTACCTTCAGAGTTACGCTGTGTGTGGATAATGCTAGAAGTTTCCCTACCTTTAAGACACATGCGACCACAAGAACAGATTCACAGTCCGGGTTCACTTTGTCCCCAGCATTTAATGTCTCCTTTAGGGATCTGCATGATTTCATATTGGCCGATTTTCTGAATATGCTCTCTGTGAGCGGCCCTTTTTGCTTAAGAAAGCAAAGCGTATCCTATAGGGAAGAAGAGAAAGGAAAAATCAATGGCACCTCGTATCCAGGAGCCCAGAGCACCCGCTCCCCCCTTGTCGGAGCTGGAGTAAGCGAGGTGCAGTGCTGGGGGGGGGGGCATGCAAGCAAACGTGGAATTTTTTTCTCAGTGTCTCTATTTTCCACCCAACCATCCCTTCTACATTCATATGCTGAAACATTTCAAACAGTTTTTAAGTCAGATTTTCCTTTTCATTGAATTGACACTTTGGAATCAAACTTCCCTGCTTCCAGGCCTTTGTGGAATCACCCGCTCCTACTCCACCAATCTTTCCTCATCGTGCCCTAATATAGCTGCTCTTCCCCAGCTATGGAAATCTTTGTGCCATACCCGTGTCCCATTGTTCGTTCCCCTTTAAGGGGCTGCGTACCCCATTTCTACTTCCTGGATTGCTTTCTCTCTTTTCAAATCAGGTTCTCCAAACCCCTCTCCTCCTCCTCTAATTACATCCCCTTCTCATCACTCTTTCATTTCCTTTTGCTGCATCTTCATGTCCTCTGCTTGTGGTGCAGAAAGGCTCTAGGTATTGGAGTCAGGTAATCCAAGGGACCCGAATCCTATGATGCTACATCTTGGCTGTGTGGCCTTGGGCACAGTGTACACTTTAGTGAGGTTACTTTTTTTTTCTCGTTTCTGAATTGGGAATGATGGTAATCATAGCTACCCCCTAAATTTTCTGTGAAACTTGCAAGGACTGAGGTAGTAGGAGCATGGGACTGGCATGACACATTTCTTCATCATTATCCTAAAATTCCCTAGATCTGGTAGAGTGCTTGGAGAGATACTGGACACTCAATAAATGTTGACACTGACAATTCCATACACCAATTTGAGTTAACACAGGCCAAATTCTGTGGCTGTCACTTGACACATTCTATTTGGATGAAAGGATCCACATATGCCAGAGGCTGAGTCTGTATGCTTCAGCACTGGAAATACAGGTCAAAGTCACCTGAGAGATTCTGAGGAGTGAGATTGAGCAGACTCAGCTGAAGGAGGCTGAAGACTACTGTGGAGTTCAGAGAAGATGAGACGGGGTGGACTCTCGGAGACTCATCCACATAGAGCCCATTTGCATTGATCTGAGCAGGCATATATGGGTCTTTGCTGAAACCTATGGAATGGACAAGGGTATCTTTTCTTTGTCGTGTTTGCTTTATGACTCTGCAGTACCTAAATCAGATTTTATTCTTTGAAGTAATATTAGCAAAGCTTTCCCCCCAAAGCCAGCGGCTGTCTAAAGATTTCTCCATTTAGGGATAGATTTGAACAAGACACTTGACCTCTCAGAGTTCTCCCTCCTCAGGAAAGCCACAGAAGACCAAAATGAGACCCACCAGAAGAGAAGGGGCCAGGCTGTCGCGTTCGCACACATCCCCGAGGCTGACGCCGAAGAGCTGCCCTGGCTTTGGGGATGGTGGCGTCACATGCGGAAGGTCCTGACAGGCGCTGGAGCCGCGCCGGAGGGCCCAGTTGCCCATAAAATTAATTCTCACTGACTTCTGGCCTGAATCCAAAGAAGAAGTGAGATTATCAGTAGTAGTTAGTTTAATTTACTTAGGGCACATTCATTGCGATGGCAAGAAGAAAGAGGAACTGAGTCAGCTTTTGCACAGAATTTCCCACGTTCAGAAATTGGCCAGCTGCATCCTTGTGGTGTTAATGTGCTCTTCTTCCCCTCATCCTGCAAACCTAGAGGCTTGCTCAGACTCGGGGTCACTTCTTCCAGGGGAAATGCTTCCTAGGCAGTGCTCTCTCCTGCCTGTTGCATGAGACACTTCACTTGTACTTGTCCGTGTTTTCTGATGTTTAGTATGAACAGTGGATTCAGGTGACAGATCACATTTCGAAAGCTAACCAGGTTTGGTTTTCAAATCAAGCAGAGTTTGGCAATCATCTACTTTCATAGAAAGTCTCCTCCCACTCTTAGATTCCCTGTTTGCTTTCTGAACGCCCAACCATGGTCAACTTTCTTTCAGCAAAAGGATCTGCCTTTCAAGACACAACCTGCCTGAGCCCACTTCTCAGCCCGCCTCTGGCCTCTGCTCTGGGGGCCACAACGCTCAGGCAGCTCCATGATGACTATCAGCAGTCAGGGTCCTTGGGAAGTAGTCATTAAATGCTGGCTATGTGGTAAGATTCCAGGTGGCCGTGTTTCTTCGGACACCCCACAAATCTACCCAGAGATGATTTTTAACTACCCAACAGCCCCTGTCAAAAGAATGCTTTTCAAAGGAAAGGTGATCAGCAAGGAAAAGCTGAGTTCCAAGTTTCTACTGCTCAGCTATGAATGTTTACCTAATAAGGTACCTTAACATTTGTTTAAATCACATGTTTATACCGAATACTAAAAATGTCAACAGAGGAGCCAAGTTGTAGAAGGATAAACAGTGAAGCAACATTTCACCAAGTAGCCTTCAACGCCCAACCACTCGGCCTTCCCGGGAAGGAGTGAGTGCATCTCCACGTCCACTCACGTGGATGCAGTGCTCCTGGGGCTGGACCAGAGAGAGCAGGATCCGAGAAACAGAAGGCTCCTGGTTCTGCCGCTTAGTCAGATAAGTTTACTCAAAACTCTTTGAGCTTTGGTTTGGTCTACTTTAATGTAAATGATGCTACCTACACCTCTTTGGACTAAATACTAGAAGGTCCCACTCAGCATAAGGCATGGCTCATAGCAGCCTTGATAAATCTCATCTCCCTCACTCAGAGGGCCTAAGGAGGCCTAGACATCTGTCCCCTCCCCCTAAAACAGGCCGCACCCCCATTCTCGGTTTGATTTCACTGCCTCCAGAAGGTAGCAGTCATGAAGGAATGCCACCACTCCCCTAACTAAGGCTTCTTCCTGCCTGGCATTCATACCCCTACCATTTTAAAAAGAGAGAAGAAAGCCAATACATTTTTAACTCCAGGAGAAGATTTCTATATGTCTGCATGTACAAATGTTTGTCTCAGATACACGTTAAAATATAGGTTGAGTTGTTGTATGCAACCTGGTTTTCCTACTCTTAACCTGATTTTATTATTTCTAAAACTAGCCAAATGTATTCCATTATTCAGCTTAAACAAGAATGCTCTGAAGAAGAGTGCTCTGTCCCTTGATACAAAGCTACACATCCAGCTACTCTATGAGCATAGACAGAAAGTATAGACAGTGAGCTAACATCTGTTGCCAATCTCCTTTCTGCTTGAGGAAGAGTGGCCCTGAGCTGACATCTGTGCCTATCTTCCTATATTTTGTATGTGGGTCGCCTCCACCGCTTGGCTTGATGAGTGCTGTAGGTCAGCACCTGGGATCCAAACCCACGAACCCTGGGCCACCGAAGTGGAGCGCACTGAACTTAATCACTACACCACCGGGCTGGCCCCCAAAACCTAGCTAGTTTTAAACAGTCCTGGCAAGATTTAGGCTAGTGTTTCCTCATGCTCCAATTAGGGTGTGTGTATTAAAAACTAAATTTTTTGAAACTTTATCCTTCTAGAATAACAATCATAATAAAAATACTTTGAAGTAGAAATTCTATTCTGGCTCAAATACTTCCCAAATAAATAAAATGTCTTCTTCAGAGAAAGAAATATCAATGGGAGAATATTGGAATGGGAGGGGGAAAAATGACAAGAAGGAAGATAAAAAAGCCCTGACCGTAAACATTCAGTCTAGTTTTGGTCTTGCCCTGGGTCTGAAGCAGACGTGGAAAGCGAGCTTGCTGTGGGAACAGACTTGAGAGTCCAGTTCTCTCTGGAATCCCAAGCCCACTTCAGCCGAAGCCCAGAAGAGAGTGCAGTTCAATTCCATAACTCTTCGCTCCACTGGAGTTTTTGATTCCAGGTGTGTCTAAGCCATGTGGTCATTTGGTCCCCTCCCGTGACAGACTGAGATACTGGACAAATCCCTGAGATCGGGAAGGCACGTTCTCAGGTTGTAGAAGCACACGCTCTGAGAAGACATATGGATGTGCAGACACAGAACTATATGGTAACAGTGCTCTGGGGATACAGAGAAGGGAGCAACTGTCTACCTAGAAGGATTAAAAAAAAAAAAAACCTTCCTAGAATTGAGCTGCGTCTTGATTTCAGACCTTTGGAGTTTCTCTAAGCTTGATTCTGGGCGGGTACTGGGTTCCTGTCCATACGGGCCCTCTACCCCCACATGGAAAATCAGCTCTGTGTCACGCATTTGAGAAGTGGAGACATGAGCCAAGAGAAGGCGCTTGCCGGAGGGCAGGGGCTCACCTTTCCTCTGCTGGTTCCTGGCTGGGTGCCTTGGCTTCAGGATGAATTGGCCTTGCATGTCTGGGGACTCCTGGAAGGTGGAGTCCCCCGGTCCCTGTGGCAGGAGCCCAGTGGCTGGACGATGGCTCCTTTTAAGTGTGTAGGGATGCTCATGTCCTATAGGGAGAAAAATCTAACTATGGATCAGGATGATGGTGATGGGGTAGGATCAAACCTCCTTACTGTGAGCGTGTGGGCCACACCAGTGTGTGCTGCCATTCTCCTGGAGCTTCTGGATAAAGAAGGCTGTGCTCCCTAGCGAGCGCCACGTGCACCCTCACGGGAGACACCTTGCAAAAAGCAGGTGCCCAAGCAAAAGAGTTTAAAAAGGAAAGAGAAAAAGATTTTGAACCACGTTGCTTTCTTTGGAATGCATAGATCCGTGAGTGCATTGCACAATGTTGACTTTTGCTGTGTTTCCCTCCGAGAATGTTTAATGCCTTCTAGTTTCTGCCTTGACACTAGCTAGATCTGTACATCTGAGGCAAATTACTTGACCTCTCTGAGCCTGACATTCATCCTTTTAAATGCTTACCCTCACACAGACTTATAAGGATCAAGGAAAATATATTAATAAACATTGGTGGTCAAGGGTTTTTAAAGAATTGGACCATATATGTTCAGAATTGCTGTGATCACTGTTCTCTCACTCGTAATGTCATTTGAACACAGATTTTTCGTTTCCTTTTCTCAGTCCTAAAGACAAGGGCTCCTCAAGAGCAGCAGGGCTCTGTGCCTTCAGCTGCCCTCCCATGGCTGCCCACCCTCTCAGGTCTCTGCCAGGCAGCCATCAGAGGGAAGGCTGCACGGTGTTGGAAACCCAGAAGCAAAGTGCAAAGCAGTGTTTACAGAGTGGAAAACTGCCCCCAACATCACCGGGAGTTGCCTGCCATGTGATTTGTTTTGCTCTTTCATGCTTTAAATTGCTTCCTCTCCATAGAGTTCTCTGTGGAGAATTGCACTTTTCCCCAACAGTGTGGTGTGGATTTCATTCTTTAAGAATACAGGCATGCCTCATTTTATTGTGCTTCCCTTAATTGCATTTCGCAGATACTGCGCTTTTTACAAATTGAGAACTTCTGGCAACCCTATGTCAAGCAAATCGATCAGCACCATTTTTC